CCCCGCAGGCAGCCTGCCAGCTGCACCTGCCATGGGCCCTTTGTACCGTCCCCTCTTCTCCCAGCACAGGCACTTATGATGGTGCCAGCCTCACCAGCACCGAGCCACCTGTCCTCAGATGTTCCCAAGCCGAGCACAGCAGGGTCACGGGCCACTCCAGCAGTTGGCATCCTCCCATGGCGCGGCCTGCTCATTTGAGGCCTGGGGGCACCAGGGCTCTGCCTCCCCTCTCCCCCCCGAGGAGACCTAAAGACATCCTGATTCATCCCTTCCTCAAAGCACCCCAGCCCCTGACAGCGGGGCAAGCACCGAGCTGCCCCTTGGGAGACACCACGTGCCCGAATTACCCCTCCCACCCAGGGTGCAGGGGTGGGGGGCCTCATCCTGGCTGTGGGACGCCCAGCACCCAGGACAGCAGAGAGCTGCGGCTTCTGCACTCCGGCTAGCAGAGCCAGCGAGAGGGTAAACAGCCCACGCAGCCAAACTTTGCTTAACCCACACTAGGTCAAGGACACCACCCCCAGCCTGCTGCCCCAGGGAGGGTAAATATGGACAAGAGTTACTCATTAGAAGGAGGCCCCGGGCTGGGGAGGAGGGGGTAGCCCCCCTGCCTTCCCTAGGTCACACACGGCTTCCAGGCAGCACATGGCCCAGCTGGAGCAGAGGCAAGAGCCCCTGGCAACCCCAGCCCTACGGGTCCAGCTGGGGAAGGAGGTAGGAGCAGCCCCCTGAGAACCATCCACCCAGGGATAGGAACTGCAAGGGGTGGAGAGGAGAGGAGACTGCCAGGTGTACCTACCCCCACCCCACTGCTCCAGCACCAGCGAGGCCACAAGCTCCAGCCTGAGCCACTATGGTGGCCCATACCGCTGCCCTACATATCCCACAAACCCTGGGACACGGGCAGCCCGGCCCCTGCCTCTCACCTTTATCTGCAGGATGTCTCCCTCGTGGGCGGGCCACCCCCGCAGGATGAGCCCCGTCCTGGTGTCCAGCAACACGATGAACCCGGAGGAGAAGCCAGCCACAACGCTGCGGCCACTGGGGCTGATGGCCAGGCAGCGGATGAGCCCGGCGCTCGCCCCGCTGGCCAGGCGGAACTCGTGCTGCGGAGACAGAGCCACGAGCACAGATCATCACCCGGTAGGGACAGGGCGTCTAGGCTCAGCAGCCCCATCCCAGGCAACCCCAGCACATACGGCCTGAGGCAGCAACAACAGCAGCCCCCGCATACGTGGGAGAGCGCCCGCTACCTGTATCCCTGGCTTCCTGTGGTCGACGAAGCGCAGCACAGAGTCTGCGCTGGCCACGGAGATGCTGCTGTGCGGGGGCGGCATAGTAGTTACGGCTGTGATGGGGACCTTGCTGTCCAGTGCATCGAAGGTCCGGACGAGCTTGCCTTTGGGAAGCACAAGAGGCCATGAGTGTGGTGGGAGCTGCTGCCCCTCCGCAGCAGGGCAGACTTCACAACCTGCCCAGGCTGGTAATGCAGCATGGAGCCCACGGCTGCCCCATGACATCTGAGCGCAACTCCAGGCCTTCTCCGAGGCTCACCCTGGGGCCAGCGAGACGGGGAGAGAGGAAGGGAACCGCCCCACCCATTCCCAGCACAGGCTGCAGGGGAACAGGCTTGAACCCATGGTGTGGGACCCTCTCGGTCTAGTTTCCTGCCTTCAGTAGTGGCCGTGTAGCCTGCTACTTCCCCAGGATGCCTGGTAAGAGGCATCAACCACCTCCTCCTCCAGAGATGGAGTAAGACTTCCCGAGGAAGCCCCCAGGCTTGCTCCCCTCTAGGCTGCCGACCAGCATGCCTCAGCCTTCTCCTCCGTCCCACCCCACCCCTTACCCGTGAACTGGTCCCAGACGTGGACGGTGCCATCACAGCTCACCACCTGCTGCGCGGCCTCCAGCTGGCCCACATAGAAGACCGACTTTTTGTGCTGCGTATATGTGAGCTGCGGCTCAACCTCACTAGTGCCGTCCCCACAGTTGTAGAGGGGCCACAGGCGGACTGTCTTGTCCTTGCTGCCACTCAGGAAGAAGTCCTCAGTGCCCAGCGGGGCCACGCACTTGATGGCCCCCAGATGGCCCGAGAAGCTCTGCAGCTTGATCTGGTGGAAGTGGAAGCGGGAGTCGTGCTGACTCACTCCGATCTCGTACTGCCAGTAGGCCAGCCAGTTCCCACACAGCATGTGGGCGCCGCGTGGCAGGTCCTGCTTCAGGGTGTTCTCCTCGCTGGCCAAGCTGGGAGCGAAGCCGCCCACCCGGGTGCAAAAGCCCAGTGAGCCAGCACCATCGTGCTGTGGCTCCACGGGGACCTGGATGCGGTTCCCCACCAGCACGCTCCCAAAGGTGCCTGAGCGACTGTCCTCTGGGTGGCCAGAGAAGGGGTCAAGGCCTCGAGTATCTGCATCTGCACAGACTGTGTTCACTGCCGGCTCCTGGCTGGCCAGGTGCAGGCTCTTCGGGTTCATGCTTTCCAGGTAGAGGCCAGCCAGCCGCTCGATCAGCACGTGGTTGGGAACAATCGTCTGGATGACATCCCCTGGAAAACAGGTCAGGACCCCAAGCTAAGGAATCTCTTCCCCAGCCTCACACCCTCTCCCACAGGAGCAGACCTGGGGCCAGCACCGGGCCCGCACAGGATCCAGGGCTCTCCTGGCCAGACAAACCAGCCACGGCCAGGGGCACAGCACAGCACAGCACAGCACAAGAGGCAGGGATGGCTTCCCTTCCCCTGCACATATGGAGAGACCCGCAGGGCACCCAAAGGGTTGCTCCCATCAGCCAGCCTTGCCTGGCAGCTGGGGTGCACAGGCCCCAGAGCAGGCAGGCATGCAGCGTGCCAGGCAAGGAGCTCCGGCATGAAGTCTTTGCTACACAGAGCAGTGGCGCCATACCAAGCAGGCAGGAGAAGGGGATGTATGTGGTGTAGGCCATCTCGGGGTTGAAGACCGTCTGCAGCTCTGCCAGCACAGCCGGGTCCAGTGGCAGCAGCCTCCCATCGGAGGGGGATGTCTCCAGGCTGGGGTTCTCACCGCGGCTCAGTGACTCCAGCATCAGGCCCTGGACGAGAGAAAGCCAGAGGATATTGAGGGAGATCAGGCGCTCCCACTCACTGCCTGCCATGCCTCCCCCCACACACAGACCGAGGAGGTCACTCACCTGATCTGGAAGCTCCTGAAGCAGCGAGAAGGCCCCAAAGAAGGTTCCTACCGTGTCACTGAGGTGCTGCTGCACCATCTCCTGCCCAATCCGTAGGCAGATCAGGGCAATGAGGCTGATGGTCTTGACGCACAGGACAACGCGGGCCTGAGCCCCGCTGGGGAACCTGCGGAGGACACCAGTCACCACCCTACCCCGGGTCATGCCTCTCGCCCACTCGGTGCTTCTGACCCTGCAGGAGGCAGCGTCAAAGGGCAGTGGAGGAGGAGCCCTGTACACAGCAGGCACAGACCCCAGGGAGCATGTGGATTGGGGTGGGGCACCCACACCCCTCTCTTTGGAGATCCACCAGCAAGCGCCCGTCTCTTAGATCACCCATGTCTTTATTGGAGCCAGGCCCGGCCCTGGGAGCAGAGGCTTCCTGCACTTACCCAATGGCAGGGGAGGTAAGGAAGCCCAGCACGGGCAGCAGCACCTCCTGGCTGATCTTAGGGAGGATGTCCATCAGGGTGGTGTCCGAAAGGCACACAATGATCTTCTGGGTCAGGGTCATGGCTGCCAGGAGCCCAGCCTCCTTCCGGCTGTTCAGTCGGCTAGTGCCGGACCCGCTGCTGGGGGCAACCTGCAACAGCAGACAGGAGCTGAGGGCCCCAGAGTGCTCTCCCTTTCCCCTTCGTTGCCAGGATCATCAGCCTCCTTGCACAGGAGGTGCCCCCAGGCACTCCTTTCCCCCACAAATGGCATCAGCGTCACTGTAGTTCATCAAGAACGACTGTCTTTGTTCCCTCAAACTTTCTGAAGGATCTGAAAACAAGGCTAGCAAAATCATTACCAACACTCTTCATGTAGCCACAAATGGCACCCAGGAAACGAACGTCACTAACCAGTAGCGGGGAAATATGGAAAAGGATTCTCGTCCCCTTCCCCCACCAAACATGTCAGACTGCAGTTCTGGGAGGGGAAGCAGATCTTCCCTTCCGACTGGTTCGGCCGTGTGCTCCACTTGCATAGCTTGCAAACAGCACAGCCTGGAAGTCATGCCACTGTTTGGTCTGCAGATGAAAGGCAGACTCCTCCAGCCCCTCCTTGGCCTGTTCCCTGCTACACACTACAGAGCTCCGAAGCATCAGCCCTGGGATAACTAAAGGTTCCTCAGCAGAGTGGTCCCTAGGACCAAAAGAAAGCAAACGTTGGCTCCTGGAAGTGGGAGTGTTTGCTCTGGTCTCCGGAAAGTGCTCTCTCTGCCAACTCCCAGCCACACAGCAGCACAGTGGGCACTGCTCAGCCACCCAGGCCCAGGGTCAAATGCAGCCAAGGCACGTGCCCCCAAGAGCAGAGGGAGGCACAAGACAAGCGTCTGTGCAGCAGACTGGCCTCCCACACGCTTGCAGCACTAGTGCTCCTCCTCTCCCCCCCCGGAAGGCAGGACGTGAAGCAAGCCCCACTGACCAGGTAACTGATGTAGGGCAGGTACTGGTAGGTGAGGACGGGCTCTCCATACAGGTGCGCCACACACATGAGGCAGGCCAGGACCGGCTTGGACACCTGGTCCCCCAGCACTGGCCGCTTCTGGTAGATGTTCCCTCCGTTCAGGGGACCGTTTTCATCAGCGTTCAGTGCAAACTGCTGTCTGGACGGACCTGCCGGGGGAAAGGGAAAGGGCCAGTGAGTCAAGCCACTGCCTTGCTCAGAATCTCGCCCCCGATGCTCCAGCCCGTGGCCCGTCCTGCCCAGTCACGCGTGCCAGGCAGGCACCCACACCCTTCTGGTGCAGGGCAGCACCCACAGCAGGCAACCCGGAGACAAGGCCCTCCAGCCGCTGCCCAGGAGGAGGGGTGGGCCGTACCCATATAGCAGGACGTGAGCAGGCGGAGCAGGTTCCTGGCAATGTACCGCGATGTCACCGTAGGGCCCAGCTTGGCCGAGAGCCACCGCACCATCTTACAGGCCGTGTCTGCAAGCAAACGCGCAATGGCAAGTGCACAGGGTGGGACAGAGAGATTAGCTATCACTCAAACGCGAGGCAGCCAGGGCCCCAGGGCAGATAGTGTGATGGAGAACCCCTCCAGAGCTCCCCACCCACTAACTCCAGAGCTACAGCCCAGCTCCTTCCACCCACTGCCCAGCCCAGCGCACCACATGGGCACCATGTACCACCACTTTCTGAAAGACTAGTCTGTCCAGGGCCAGACACACCGCAGTCACCTTCCCCAGACTCCAGGTGCCCCTGGGGCTGGATCCCGCAGCCCTGGGATGGAACCGGTTTCCCCTCTCACCCCCTCACCAAGGGGCCCTTACCCAGGAGGATTGTCTGCTCTTTGTCTTCCAAATGATCCTGCAGCTCCGGCTCCGGCTCTTCCCCTGGCTCACTGTGGTCATCAGCTAGGGCAGCTTCCACAGAGCTGCCAGTGTCTTCGGGCAGGCTCAGCTCAGCAACCACCGTGGCATCATCCTGCTCCTCTTCCTCCTGCTGCTGCTGCTGCTCCTCGTCCTCCTCCTCGTCCTCCGAGTCTTCGCTCTGCTTCAGGTCCTGGCTGCTGTCCATGGACTTCAGGCTGCTCTTATCCTTCTGGGAGTCCCCGTCAGCAGGCCGGTCCTCTCCCAGTGACACCTCACTGGCGCTGCTCTTGTCGCTCAGCCGCCCGAGGCTGAGCAGCTCCTGCTCCTGGGGCTGCAGCGACTCGCCCACATAGAGGCCACTCTGGAAGTCCTCGCCCTCGGGCAGGTAGGCCTGGTCATGGAAGCTGACACCCGACGTGTAATCCAGGAGGTCGAGTGTCACAGAGCCATGCTCTACGTCCATTTTGATCTCCTCCCCAAAAGCACAAGACACTGGGCTGCCCCCTCCACTCTCTTCATCCTCTGCGGCTCCCAGCAGGGCCTTGCTTTCCTCCCGGGAGCTCTCAATGCCCACGAGAATCTGCAGGATGTGGGGCAGCAGGTTGGAGAGGAAGGACGGCAGCCCCAAGCGCACGATTAGCTGGGCCACGAAGCAGTCCGTGTACAGGTAGAACCGGCCGTGGAGGTAGCAGGGGTTCTCGTACGCACCGATCAAGGGCTTGAGCAGATACTTATTTGTATTCTTTGGGCCCAAGGCTTTGGCAATGGGCTCGAAGAGATACCACGCAGTGTAGACTGCCGCGTTCTCCTCAGACATCAGGGACAGGATGAAGGGCAGCAGGATCTCCAGGCCCTCGGGAGTGATTTCACAGAGAATCTCCTCCAGCTGCTGCCACAGCTGGAAGACAAGCTCACGGCCCTGGCCCTCATCCTCCACCTTCTTGGACTGGTAGGTGAAAATGAACCTGTGCAGAGCAGGGAAGTAGGGCGGGAAGGGAATGATTGAGCTGAAGGGGCTAAGGAGCTGCAAGGGGCAGGGCGGCGGGAGGCCTTGGGACACAGGTTTGTATTCAAACAGCTGGACCCTGCTCCTGGCCACTGGGCTCTTCAGCAGCCTCCCCACAGGCACGCTCAGCTGCAGCAAGACGCCCAGCATGTGCTGGAGCGGCGCTGGGACTTCCTTTGGATAGTACCGGCAGAGGTTGCGGACCATCAGGAACCGCTCCAGCAGCGACGCATCTGGCTTCAAGGTGCGAATCCTTGGGGCAAACACCAGCTCAGCAACCAGGACCCCCAGCGCCTGCATGTCTCTCTGAAACAAGTCCGAGAGGCCCAAGGGCAGCTCCACCTCCGGCTGCTCCATCAGCTCCATCTCGCTGTTCAGGCCTCTGACCAAGAAGTTGTCCAGCTTCTCCAGCTCTTCCAGGGCCTGCAAAGGATTGAACCCTTCCGGAAGCACAATCTTCATCTCGTCCCTGTCAGTCTGGTCCGTGCCGCCGGGCTTGCTCCTTCGAGTCGGCCGGGTGCTGGGAGCTTTGGCCTCTGCAGCTGCGGCGGGGAGGCTGGGGGGGTGAGCTGAGGGGGTGCCGGGGCAGGACTCGTCAGCCGCTCTGCCCGCGGTAGGAATGGAATCCAGAGCCTCGGTGCCCTGCTCCAAGTCATCCTCAGTGCTGACAGCCTTGTCTCCAGACCAGCTGGCCTCACTGGGGGCGGCCTCCATGACCAGCCCATCAGGCCCCTCGGCTGCCTGGGCCTGGCCATCCTCCGGGTCCAGCGCCTCTCCGACATTCGGGATGAGAGGCCGAGCAATGACCGGTGCGATGGCAGGCGTATAGACAGGTCCCATCATGCGCCGGGGGTGCGGCTGGTCGAAGAGCTGCACCACCCCGTAGGTGGTCAGGTGCGTGTGGTTGTCCACCAGGTGCAGGCAGACGTTCTTCTCCTTGACGGCGTCCTTCCCCTGCAGCTTGTAGCCGAACGTGAGGTCGATCCAGTGGTGGAGGTCCTGGGAGACCTCCCGACTCTCCAGCAGCGCCCGGTGCACGTCCACAAACTCCTCGCAGGAGCCGCACCAGGCCGGCACGTCCAGGTCAGGCATGTCGGGATGGATGGACTTGAAGATGGTGGGGTCTGTGAAGAACTCGGGGATGCACTCGTCAGGGGTCCAGCTCTGCATGCGCTCCATGCTGGCCGGGTACTCGTTGGGCTCCCACTGGGACCGCACGTGGCAGCACAGCACGGCCTTGGGCGTCCTGCGGGCAGTGTACACGTAGTAGGTGATGTCCGAGAGCACGTCAGAGATGTGGTGGGGCACGTGGAGCTGCTCCCCGCTCAGCCCGCCCGCCACGAATGCCTGTTTGGTCATCTCGTAGGTGAAGTCCAGCTGCTTGTCGCCCTTGTTGAGGCGGAACTTGGACTTCCTGAGGTCCCTGAATTTGCCGTTGCGGCTGGTGAAGTCCACCACCCAGGGCAGGACAGGGTGGTAGTTGGGGTCCCCCAGCCG